CCTGGAAAAATGGGCCCAAAGATGAGGAACTCCAGTACAGGAAGTAGGACACACATTTGGGAATACTAAATAACCTGTCTTCCTGGAACAGAACTATACACAAAAGCAGAAATGCAGGAGGATGGCTAGGTAGGGTAAAGGCCACATTTTAAAAAATTGCAGGCAGGACATTTTGGTCTAATATAGAAGTCAAGTAATATCTGTGGTAGATTTCTTGAGTGATACTCTGAGAAGAAGATTGTAGTACCAAGGGGGAAATTTAACCTGGTAATGGATCGAGGAGGACAGAGACTTGTAGCAGGGAATCTGAAAAGTGCTTACAGCAGTCATCTGAGCACCGGCCTCACCACAGACGCTAGCAATAGAAAGTCAGAGGAAACAAATGTACGAGGCAATCTGAAGGAAAACACAGTATGGGGCTCAAGGGTTGTAGCCAATGGAGAAATGGCAGAGTGAGAACCTCACCCAGCTGAGTGGATTGGACCAACTGACACGGCCAGAACTAGTGCCCTGCATGGAAAACAGTCAGTACACGGTTACAGCAATGCCAATGTTTCATAAAGTAACTTTAGGAAAGGGGTTCTGTCTGTTGGTGCAAATGGTTGGTTGAAGTGAGTATGCAGATGAATGCCAGAGGGAAAAAAAGACAGGGTGGGGGTGGGCAAGGATGAATTTCTTTATCTTTCTAATCCATAGGTTAATTTATACCAGCTTTACACAGTAGGTTCTAAACAGGTTTATTCATTAAATCAGTATATCATAAACACATCTGTTATGGGATGAACTGTGTCCCATGCCCAAGAGATGTGGTATAAATCATAATCCTTCACTGAGAGATGAGCAGTCTGAACGCACTAACAGCTCTAATCCGATACAACAGCTGACCCCCCCCATTATGTCAATCCATCTCCTAGACTCTAAAGCAGCGGTTCTCAACCTGTGGGTTGCGACCCCTTTGGAGGTCGGAGGACCCTTTCACAAGGGTTGCACAATTCATAACAGTAGCAAAATTACAGTTATGAAGTAGGAACGAAAATAATTTTATGGGGGGGGGGAGGTCACCACAACTTGAGAAACTGTATGAAAGGGTCACGACATTAAGAAGGTTGAGAAACACTGCGATACAGTGACTATGAACTGGAACTGGTTCAAGAGCATTGAGTCTGTGGTGATGCGGACGAATGGTGATACTGTGAAGGGCTCCAGCCAATTCTTCATTTTCAGAATAAATATAACAAAAATACATAGCAGAGATTAAGTTCTGAGTACTAGATTTGCAGATGGCTATAGCTTACAGTAAAGGAGCCTCCAGTTGCAAAGTGGTTACTTGTTGGAACTGCAAGATCATTATTTCAAAACCACTATATGCTTGATGGGGAAAGAGGAAGCTTTTTACTCCCATGAAGAGTTACAGTCTTGGAAATTCACAGGGGTAGTTCTACCTTTTCCTACAGGCTCATTATGAGTCCAACTTGAGTGGATGGCATTGAATTTGGTTTTTGGTTTGAATTTGATTTACAGTGGAAGCCCCAATTGCATTTTGTGTCTCCATATAGACTCAGCCTCCATGCTGTTCTTGACCTTCGGCCATCCTCCAGGCAAGGCCAGGGAGGAGCAATTTCACCCTGGAGAACTTGTCTGAGCATACCCCTTGATGGAAACAGGGGTGCAGAGGCCCCATGGTCACGAGTCATACTTCATCTAGAGTGGCTGGAAGACCCTGAACCGATCTTACAGGTGTTTCTATCTCTAAAGTACACACATCCCCATCACAGTCCCTTTCCAGCTCTGTAGTCCCACCTGCAACTGTGACGGATTGATTTTATGGCCTTTTTCTTTGAGTTCCATGTCCTATTTAAGAACATGTGTGGCTGTGAATCCTTGACACCACAGCCTCATGCTGATGGTCTCTCTCATCAAATAATTTGTTTTTGTCTTTGTCTTGCTTAAGATGGAATAAATGGGTCTCTATATATTTGAATTTAGGATCTCTTACGAAACAAGAGGATGAAAGGTACCACAACAAAGGTTTCATCTAAGTCAGTGGTTCTCAACCTTCCTGATGCTGTAACCCTTTAATACAGTTCCTCATGTTGTGGTGAGCCCCAATCATCATAAAATTATCTTCATTGCTACTTCATTACTGTAATTTTGCTACTGTTTTGAATCGTAATGTAAATATCTGACACGCAGAATGTATTTTCATTGTTAGACTGAACATAATTAAACATAATTAAAGCATAGTGATTAATCACAAAACAATATGCAATGATATATTGTGAAATATTTGTGTGTTTTCCGATGGTCTTAGGCCACCTGGGAAAGGGTTGTTCAACTTTCAAAGGGGTCACGACCCACAGGTTGAGAAGTGCTGATCTAAGTGGTTGCTTTATAATTCTGTGAATTTGACTTTAAAGAAACTCTCTTGTGCTTAAGAGACACATATCAGGGTGGGGGTGGAGGGGACAAAGGCATCTACCACAAAGCAGCATACAGACCAGAAAAAGGAAAGAAAATAGTAGGCAGGCCATGTGCACAGAGACACAGACACAGGGGTTGAAGCCTTTGTCAAATTAAGTCTTTTTGTTCCATATAGGAACTGCAGAAGACATGAACTGGGACAGCCTTGGAAAAGTCTACAAGCTGAGAAGACACAATGCAGCACGGTGGAAGTTCATCAGTGCTCCAGCACCATTAACAGTTGGAGTAGAATGTGGAAGCAAATAATTAGTTAGGATGCAGACTTATTCTTACACCTTGAATCCCAAACCTAAGTCGGGGTCGGAATGGCCCTCTAGAATTCTCAAAGTGGGGCTGCACATACAGGCCAGTTTTGATTTAGAATAAATCATGTATCATGATGTTTTTAGCCACTCACCACTAGGAAATCAAATCTGAGGTTTCAATTTAGGGCTGGGACAGGGGCTAGCAGTCAGACTCAGCCTGAGCACTCTGCACAGACAGCACACAGGCATGCAGAGACGTGGCACTGGGGCCTTTGTGGTGACCACTCCGCAGCATTCTCAGTGCCATGCTCACGCAAGCAGTAAGGCAAGCCCAGCCTAGCCAAAGGGCTGCAGGAGACGGACATCTGAAAGGTCTCTTCTTCACCTGCCTTTCTGTGCCACGGGACTGCCTTGGCATAAGATCCAGGGCTCTCAAGCTTTGCTCCACCCTCATCCGGAAACCCCTAATGTAAGACAGATACACAAGGTGAAGCCATGGGGTTCTGCAGCTGCCAGGGCTCCCCAGAGCACCCGTTTGAAAACTGCTCAGTCAGTTGCTCTCTGCAGTCCCTTCACACACTGCCTGCCGGTCTCACAGGTGGGGCCAGGCTTATGGCTTGGAGGTCAGACTCATGATTGCCTCTCTGCACATCTAAGGCAAACCCCCATGTCATGCCTTCTCCTCTCTTCAATTCAGGAATAAATCTGGAGGTATAAATAATGAAACTTCTTTTTATTAAACTCTTAGGGGTGGGACAAAGCCTTTTAAAGATTCCTATAATTTCCTGAATGATTTTGTGTCAAATCAGGTAATGCTGCCCTTCAGGTACCAAGGGACAAGCCATAACAACTGAGATATGGTTTAGGATAAATGACTATTAGGAGAAAATAAAATCCCTTATAGTGTTCTAAGTACCAAACCAACCATAAAGTCCCCAAGGGGGAGTAAGACCCGTTATACAGCAACATAATCCTATCACCTCATGGCAGTCTTGCCATGGCTATTTGTGACTGCTTGCCTGAGAAATAATGAAATGACGATACATCGTATTAATATTCCTATGATGTGTCACCTTCATTGGTGGGATAACGCTGAGTGGAGGACCATGAAATCAACTCCTATGTGCTAGTCATTGGTTACAGGCAACTTAACCATGTCTAGAATCGTTCTATGACTTAGTTCCTGATGGTCAAAATGTGAACAATAAAGCCTTGCAAAGCACAGAGAAAGGACATATGAAATCATTAAGTGGGAGGAAAGGTGGTTTAAGAAGATAAAGCACCAATGACTACAGTTACAACACTTATGTCCAGGAGGCAGGACAGGTACTCGTGTCTCCACCCCTCACAGAGTCCAGAGTCTGCTAAGTCAGCAGTGGTGTCTGTGGAAGCAGACAGCCCAGGTCCCAGAATGTGCTTCCGCCAACAATGGCCCTCCCACACGCACAGCCTGCTGCTGCTTTTGTTGGCAGTTTCTTCTCCGTATGCTCCTTGGCTCCCTCATTTTCAGCATTCACTCTCATCCTTTCTAGTACCTGGGTGTCAGGTCCTAAAGCTCTTCCTCCTTGACAATGCAGTTAAGGGGATTTCCTATAATGCAAGTCTGGCCATCCTGCTTCTCTGCTTGGGACCATATACCCCTCATTCAAACTATAGCACAAAGGCCAGCTATCTCAACTGATATCCAAGGTTCTGCACAGCCTGACTCCTCCGAGACCCCATTGTCCAGCCATGCTCAGCTAGGTGTCCTATCACAACAGGTGGTACCAGGAGAGCTCTGGGGCCTTAGTTCCGGTGAAAGGGGCCCTTCTTAAACCCTTGACCTCTGATGTCCCTGACCACTCCTCCTGTTAGCCAGGCACTCTAGCACATCCTCTGTGACTGCATTCACCAATCACTGGGACATGGGCAGGGATCTCTACCAGACAGGTAAAACCAGGCACAACCTCTCCGAGCAGACACCATTTCTGATAAAACGGAAGCAAAGGGACCCCGCCATGTAATGCGTATGAAGAGGATTCCAGGCAGAAGGCTTTGCAGGTGGGAAAGAGCTGTTAATGTTAAGGAATTAAAGACGGCCCATGTCACTAGAAAGGGGTACACATCTGACTCAATAGGAGAGAATATAATTGCAAGGGTGCTGCTGGCCAAAGTAAAAAGACTGTCTTTCACTTGAATTTCAACAGGAAGCCATTAGAAGTTTATAAGCAGCACCTAACATGGTCTCATTCAAGTGGGCCAAAATGACTGTCAAGCCTTCAGCAAAAGGGCTACCTCCGCCTGCCAAGCCAGGGTAGAAGCTGAGAGGGCAGATGTCCGGCCTGCTCCAAGAACAGCGATTGTTTCACCATCATCGTCCACCACTTTGAAGTCCAGGTCCTCGTTGTACTTTCTGCGCTTCACTTGCCTTCCGGAGCGCCGTTTCTGCAGGGCAAACCCACACGTCAGTGAGGATCTCTAAGTCAGAGGCAAAGAACAGTCTCTTCTCACTTCCTCACTTTACAGAAGGCATCTCTCTTTAGCACAAGCTTTTGTGAACTGAATTCACTCGAGAGATAATGCGGCTGAGGGAGGAAATGAAAGCCTACTCTCCACACCGCCAGGATCCACCCAGAGAGGTATGCTAGTTATCCATGGCGGCAACTGTGCTCCTCCTCCTCCTGCGGTTAAGTTTCTGGTTAGTTGGAAGTTCAGGTTTTGACAGTAACATGACAGTCTTTTGATTCATTTGTGCTTGAAATCATACCAACCATGTGTACCTAGAAGTACAAGCTAAAAACACTAATACTAATTATATCAGGACTTATCCTGATGTTCTCATAACACTCCTTGAAATACTGGCAGACATCCTACGTGTGGCAAACAAGGTCCATCTAAGGACTCATCTATAATTAAGCATCCATGACCTTTAGCGGGGATATCTAACAACCAAGCAGCCCAGCGACTTTCCTCCAACAGAAAACCACCCGTTCATCTTCACATCCAGTGACAGCCCTTCCAAGACCTGGCCATCAGCTAGCCCACTTGAAATGCTTAAAACCTCAAAAACAAAAGCAACACTTCACCATCCTTTCCTTGTACAGAAATCTCTAGGCCTCTTCTCTCAGTTCCCATCACTTCTTCACCTTTAGTCCCATGACATTGGCTTTAGGTGAGGTACTAAAAACGAACACCTCAACCCAGGGCCCTCCCTGAGCCATTGGGTCACATGGCTGCCAGCCAGCAAACACCAGTGCCCGGCCAACCACCCTCAACTTGAGGTGCTTTTTCCTCTGTCCAACTGGTCAGCTAGCAGCCGTGAGCCTGGTTATAAGCAGTGAAGGGCCTTCTGCCCTGATGACCCAGAACCTAGTTCTTACCACTGAGGAAATTCGGAGCTGACGCCTTCCGACAGGAGATATCATCCAGAAACCTATGAGTGTGCAGACAGTCCTTGAAGAGACAGCCATCAAGATCTAAAAGCCCCCTTGACACAGTAAGGCCCAGGGAAGTAGCTAAGGATAGCTATCAGACGAAACAGAACCCTTCCAAACATTGGAATTTGTCTCTAGAAGAGGCTGCCTTACATCAAGGAGAAAATGCCTACCAATGCCATGGATACAATTGCTTCAGAAATCAGATTTAAGTGTGTAATTCATTGCTTCCATGTTTAGTCAAACATTTCAATTTTGGGATAATGAATCTAGTCATGTGTTGCTCAATATCCAGGAAACATTCTGTGAGAGAGGACATTACGTGATCTGGGTGTTATGCAACCCATATTACATACTACATACAAGCAGTCCCCAGAGTACAAACAGATTCTGCTCCTGAGTCTGTCTTATAGGTATGGCTCATATTAACATCAGTTAGTCATATGTTTGTCGTAGTATATAATATATAGCATACCTTTCTACTCATAAGAAACATTACAGAAACATTTCCAGATACACTAAAACATGTGTAATACAACAATATGGACGTTTTGATGCATGGCACATCTTTTATTCATATCCACTAACCATATAATACGTACCTCGAATTTTTCATGTAGCGGGCCTTACAGGGGTATAGTCGCATGAGCAAACATCACGTAGCATGTGACTGTACCTCCCTGACTTTGAGTTACATATTGGGCCAACAGTTCACAAAGAGCAGGCACTCTGTAACATAGAGCTTTGACTGTCAATGTTAAGTGACACATGACTATAAACTTTCTATTCTTGTAAAGATTTAAACCCAAAGGGACCGTTCTACCTTGTCCTATAGAGTTGCTGGAAGTCTGAATGACTCGACGGCACAGAGTTTGATTTTGGTGTGAGTCTGGGATTAGGAAGAGTCTTCTTGCAGATTGGAGCAGCACTCTGAGCACTACAGACATTACCTACACAGTAAAATAGATTCCTGAACCTTACCTGCCTGGTTTAATCCCCTCCCCACACCAGTTCCCTCTATAGTCTAATAGCAGGCTACTTTCGCAAAAGAAGGCAAGCACCCTAAAAAAGTAGATTATTAATAGGATCAGCATACTAGAGGGAAAAGTCTGTGCTCTCCTTGCTCATCCACCAGAACAGGCAAAGCCCAGGCCAGGTCTGGGCAGAGAGTAGGCTAGAGACAGGCACAGAGCAACAATAGCATCAGTGGCAGCAAGATCCCATGCAGCAGCTGCGCCTCCATCCACCAGGCTTTGGGCCCAGCTGTACCTGGCTGTCTGCAGACTCAGTGGACTCCTCGGGGCTCCGCAGGGATGAGTTCGGCAGGCCCTGATCCAGCTCTAAACTTTCCACTGCCGTGTCACTTTTCCTTTTTCCTTTCTTCTTTTTCTCCACTGGGGTTGGTCCTTGCTCCTTGCTACAAGGAGAAATTCACAATTAAACCTTGTGGGCAGTTTTCAAATCTAAGATTTTCCCGATGGGCTCAAAGTCAAGAAATCACACACTCTGGAACTTCTAGGGCTAGGGCAGACTCTGATGGGGAACCCCTAAGATGTTCTTCTCGAACATGTAGGAAAAAACGTCCAGAGGGATCGATTCAAAAACTCTTCTGTCATACCTCTCACCGTGGCTACTATGACTACAGTTAATAGAAATATAAACAAGAGGTGGACCTCTACAAATCCAGAACTTTTAAGTTTATACATCTCTTCTCCAGGAAGTTCAATGACTACAGGTATTATGAATCATCAAATTACCAACTCCGCTTAAGTGACATAAGCAGAGCCTGTACTGAGAGCAGTCTATGTTTAAGACCAGGAGTGAGCACTAAGAACTCATTATGGCAGGAACCACGTCTACCCTCGAGGAGCTTACATTCGTGAGGGCCCTACACACTACCTATAACCTTAGCCCAAGGTGGTACAGAATGCTACCCAAGGTAGAGATGAGCAAAGTCTACCCACCCTGCATGCCCATGTGAAAACGCAACCTCTCTAAGAAGCCTTCCCCGACTCTCATGGCTAGTAAAATCTTTCTTTTCTGCTATGCCAAAGTGATTTGGCCATGCTTTACTTAAGGCACTTGGATCCTGTCTGGTCTTTTAGCAAAATCAGTCATTAACTATGACATCAGGCTCAGAATCCAAATTAACTATACCCAATGTCTAGATTCTCAATAGTTGCTCAGTGAACAACTGTTAAATGAATGGATATTTTATACTTCCCTGACCTCTCCTACCAGACTCTAAATTCCCAGAGGGCAGTATGCACTTGATTCAGTCTCATGTCCTCATAGTGAGTAGTCTTATTCCTTCTACCCAGTAAGTTTTCAATAAAGGTTTAATGAGTTGATGAATACTTAATGGATGGATAAGATTACTTCTAGCTGGAAGATGCAGAAATGCCATTTGAACAAGAATTTATATAGAATCTTGACATGCCTTCGTCAGGTAATATAGAATAATAATAATAGCTAGCAGATACATAATGCTCACTACATACACAGTTCTAAGTCCTATGCTCAGAATAGTATCCTTTAACCCTCACAACTACCCTATGAGGCAGATGCCTCATTATTCTCATCTTGTTATGCCTAAGGGATCTTCGGCATGGTGTGGTCAGAGCAGATCACCAGGGGAGCCTGGCTAGTAAATGGTGAAAATGGGCTCTGAATCTAGGCAGTGTACGTTCTTAACATTGCCATGTTTTTTAGGAATGAAGCAGTGTTAAGCACACATTTGGCACAAGATAATTCTGTGTGGCTAGATGGTCAGGTGAGTACACAGACACGCAGTGATGGAGCTAAAAAGGAAACAATCTAGTTTCCACCAAGGGAGAGAGTTTAGAATTCATTCTATGTGGGAAGGGGCATTGGGGAAATCCCAGGCAAGAGAAAAATGAAGATGTAAGCTACATACAATCAGTGAACATTCAAAGGTAAAAATGATTAAAAAGATCCACTGAGTCCTAAACAAGAGACACAAAGTGGAGGAGGAAGAAAGAGTATTTCTTATCAGGTACATTGTCAGGTGTGGTTAAGAGAGGACCACTGCACAGTCCTGTTTACAGAGGGGAGATCCAGCATGTTATGTTAAACGTGAGGGAAGCAACCCAACCAGAGCTGACAGCTGAAGCCATTTGCCTCTCTTGAATCCCTGCCCATCAGCAGGAACTCAGCCCATCCATGATGCCCAAGGCTGAAGACAGCTCGCCTACTAGTGAAGTCCACGATGAAAACTATTTTGGCTCAGCCTGAGAAAAGGGCTACTCAAGGAACCTGCCATTTTAGAGGAAAACATATTGTAACATTTCTTTCTAACCTCAACCAAAGAAAATTAAAAGTGATTTCACTTATCAGTTCTGGAGAGGAGACACAATTGAAATAGTTTTTAAAACATGCTGAATTTTCAGAGGAATATTTACCTCATATGTTCTGTGGCCTTTCATTATTAAAAAAAGTGTACATATAGCAATTTATACACTACAAGATAATTACACATTCTGTGTCTCACTGAACTGTTATAACCAGAATTCCACGAGGAACCCGGAAAGAGCGACGTCCATACTCTGGACGAGAAACCCTGAAGGGCACCGGAGTCAGCAGAGTGCTCAGAGTCAGGTTTCATTTGATTCAGTCCACTGCTTTTGGATCAGATAGAGTTCCTTGACCTTTTAAAATTAATTTGTTTCTTTGGGTAAATATAAAAACTCTAACCTCCCCTGTAATGTTACTTGAATCTCCAATGACTTTTAAAGAGTTGGCAACAAAAACATACAATGACCCAATGTAGAAAGATCTCAGAAATAGTTGCTGGTATGTTTTACATATTTCTCACTAAACAGGTTTGTGATTAGTTTGCTCTACATAATTTAAATTTAAAGGAATCTATAGTCACATGGTGAAAGCACCAAAATAATCGCCTGTTTAGAGAACCTCAAACTTCTGTAAAATCATAAACCATTCTTCTTAATGTTATGACACCAATCTCATTATATTAAAAATATATTTATTTAAATTTTCAATATATGTATATTAGAAATATGAAATTCATTGTGAAACATGCCAGGTACAAATGGCAATTAGGGCCTAGAACTTCCTCAAAATATGAAAGTTTACTGCAATTATGTATGCAGCTGCTTCCCATGTTTTGAGAAACACATTACAAGAAGTAAGGAAGAGTCACTTCCCAAGTCAAGGCTGGGGTGGGGCACACTAGCTTTTCATCCACAAGTTCTCAAATATATGTCAGGAAAACTGCCTAGTGAATCTGATCACTTATTTGGGGGTAAACAAAATGATACTCTACCTGGGAAATCTACAAAATGATTTTCTAGAGGTTATCTTTGGCAACAGAATCAATTTTGAATCCCAAAAATTCTTCCTGGAGTTCTTCTGATAAAAACAAGTATCAGGAAGACAGGATTCCTTGTAAACTTGCAAATGAGATTTTCAAATAGGACATCGAGAAATACCATGTGAATTCATCTTGCAGGAAGATCAAGTGAAATGCATTTGTTGTTAGGAAAACTTCGCGACTTTCATCAAATGTCAGAACCTTAACCTCTGAATTACTATACTCTTGACAGATTTGGTACATGAATGCTTGTTTGCTCCTTGAAATTCCAGTTTCTTCAAAAGTAGTGGCTCAACAATATGCAACAAAACTACATATGCATATACCCTTTGACCTGGCAATTCCACTTCTAGGTAATGATTCTAATGAAACAACTCCAACCATATCAAAAGACAAAAGCATATATGGTAGTTATCCACTGCAGTATTTGATAATGATGAATAGTGAGAACTGTCCAAACAAAAGAGATTACAGTAACTAGATACACACATACAATGGAGGCTATGTTCTCATAAAAATAAGAGCTCTATGAACTGATAGAAAATTACTTCAAGAATAGGTCGTAAAGTGGAAAATGACTGTGTAAGAAAAAAAGGGAAATTAAAAAAATATGCACTGGCTTGTCATTTCAAAGACCCACTCAGGAAACAGACCAGAAAACAAGGAAGGTGATCATCGACGAAGAGGGGAGAACAGAGGACGAAAGGCAGAGGGAGTGAAACTACTCGAGACTGCCTTTCGGAACAGATCTGACTTTTGGAAGCCTGATGGAGGTACACATGATAAAAAATTAATGAGTCTGGAAAGAAGGCAGGAAGAAACTAAAACAAATTAATCCACATTATTTCAAGCAAATCAACATATTAAAGAGAGGAAAAAAACAGACACAGAAATTAATCGCTTCACTTCTGCACACTGTGACTATGTACAGGCATACCTCCTCATTTTTCTGTGCTTTGCTCTATCATGCTCTGAACTGCCTTTTGTTTCTCTTTTAAAAACAAACGGAAGGTTTTGACGACCTTGCACAAGTCTATTGGCACGTGTTCCTTTCATGCCTGTATGTGTTCACACTTGTTTAAATTTTTTCATAATGAGATTAGTGGGATTGCCTTTACTGGGATACTTTTATTGAGATAGTCTGGAGCAGAACCCACCGCGTCTCTGCCTGCACTCTTCTCAGTCAGCTCTCCAGAGAAAGGGAAGAGCAGGAAACACTGAACTGTTTTCTGGCAGCTGTGTGGGTGAAGCAAGTCTGAAACTAGTAGTAGTACTAGATGTAGTAGTACAGGGTTAAGCAAACATGAAAATGTTTGAGGTTGGGAGTCAAGGTAATCAATATGGAAGAAAGACGAAGAAAATACAAAACATTGGAACCCCTGTGGAGAGAAATGTGAATTGAAGCAATTAGCATAAACTCATGATTTTTAAAATAAGAATACAAACAAACATACGAGTAGGTATGTGTGTATGCATATACGGGTGAGCACGTATGTACTTCCGAGTTTTAAGAAATGAAAAGGCCAAGATTCATAGATGCTTCAGTAGCAATGAGGACAATGAAGTACCCAGATCTTGGTTTCTAATGCGAAAGCTCCGAGGAGAAATAACAGATTCCAAGGCCAGGATAGGAAAGAAAGATAAGCCTGGGATATCTGGCTATGTCCTTGAGCAAAGTAAGGAAATGAGAAGAAATGAATGGAGATGTCATGTCAAAACAACATAGGCAATAAATAGCTTACCAAGTTCGGGTTGGCCAAAATTAAGACCTTGTCAGCGCCCAAGTAATTCAGGACAGTAATGAATTAAAAGCCACTGGGGGAAAAAACGTCGTCTGTATAGGGTCATAGTGAGTCAGAATTGACTCGCTAGCCAAACTTTGAGTACTAAAAATGAGTACTAACTGATAGTCAATACATGAGGTAGAAGGAAGATTCTTGATTGCTGTGGAATCTAAGTGATAAATGCGGAGAAGGGCTGGGCTGGGCAATCCTTTTGTGGACATCACAGTGAAGACTGGTTCCATTCAGAGTCACCACAGGGTGTGAGAGAGATCTAGGGAG